TCAACATTGTCTGATCAGCCTTCAGCAAAATAAGTGGGTTTTTACCCTCTGGTTACCCCCCAAAGACGCAAAGTATTATGGGGATGTGAAAGTCGAGAATACAAGTTTACAAGCTGTAAGGCATAGGCTAATTATAACAGAAACCTGAATGACTAAATTAGCCGCTATATTATTTACAATATTAAGGTCAGGAAGAATCTTATACTGTGTACTTACTGTAGTTATTTCTCACTTTTACAAAATCCCTCTATTGCAATTTTTAAAGGCTGTATTAGCCATTCTGAGGTTGAAAAAAAAACGGGTCGGGCTGGCATTGCAATGCACTGTGGGACTGTTTTGGGGGACGAAATAGACGCCATCTTGAAAATATGACTCCTAAACAGTCCCACAATACATTGCAATGCTAACTCGACCCAAGTTTTTTCACAACCTCGGAATGGAAAATAAGCTAACTTTTATTATTTGAAGAACGAGCACAAGAAAGTCCTGGAAGAGTTAGAAAATTTAAAATCCCAAAGCAAGGAATCATCCGCTGCTCAAAATGAGATTGAAACGTTGAAGAAAACACTGGCAGAAAAGACTGAAGAAATCAAAGAAAAGATAACTACACTCAATAAGGTGAGGACAGCTTTATTCTTCTCTAATGTTTTGCCAACCGGTTGCTCAGTTGGTTGAGCATCGGACTTTCGTGCGGGAGGTCGTGGTTCGAGTCTCGGCCGGACCAACACTCAGGGTCTTAAAATAACTGAGGAGAAAGTGCTGCCTTTGTAATTACATCTGCAAATGGTTAGACTTTCAAGTGGCACGGATGACCACTTTAAATGGCGGTCCCGTCTATCCACACTCATCACTAACCAACATAGGAGGGACGTAAAAGAACCACTGAGGACGTAAAGAAACCCTGGCAGTGACCACCCTCAGTGCCTACACTTCATACTAACCATCTCTAATGATTGTGAATTAAATAAAAGCAATATGTCATTCACTTCTCAATGTAAAACGCCTTTGATTATATTCATATAGAAAAGGCGCTATATAAATTCATAAATCATCATCATCATCATCATTCTTGGTCATTCGTATTTTTCTTTGACAGAGTTATAGATTAGGAAAGAAAGCAAATACCAAACAGTGACCAAGACTGAGAAATAGAGGGATTGCTCTTAATTTATTTTTTTCGTTTGAGAACTTCATCCTTTATACTCTAGTGAAACTGTAAACAGGTTTTATTTTTCTTGATCATTTGGTGTTTTTTTCATCTTTGCTGAGATTTTTGTCCTGCACCACTTACCACCCTCGCTTATACCACTCTTATCCTCGCTCACTGACCAGAGCATATTGGGCAGATTTTAACAGCTTGAATGGCCAACATAATAAGATAGATGACTTAACATTCCATAGTAATTGATGCCAATATAGTCTCATCTTTTTGGGTGTATTTCAGTAATTCTAATCCCCTTCTCTCCATTTCATTTTTATCCTCCCTTTTATAATCCTTCCCTCCTATTTTCAGTTCCTGTTCCTTTTTCTATCAAATTCAAGTTAAAGTCTTTTCGCTGCTTTTCTTTTACCAGGTGAAGAGAATTGCCCGTCAATACAAATCACAATGTGATGAAAAATCCAAAGAACTGGACGAGCTAAAGAAGAAATCCGAAGAAACTTCTCAACAAGCACCTTCAGGAGAAGCTAAAGAAGGGACTGGCGAAGGTGTGGATGTGAGCTCATATGAAACTAAAATCAAGGAGTTGACAGACAAGATGAATAACCTTGAGAATCAGATGAAGGTCCAAAAGACCCAAGATGAACAGAATAAGGTAAGGGTTCTGGTACCCCTTAGTTACCGTTGCTACGTCTCACGAGCTCAGACATTTCGCTGGGATATCTCGGAATACTCCAGCTTCGAGTGCTTCGTTACTCAGCATAAGCCTCTGTTTTGTGCAGAATGATTATACGTTCTAATGAAGGTCCGTGGAATTTCGAAGTGTGCATTCTTTACTTTATTAGTATTTGTGAATATTTAGACACTGATTCGAGGCTAACCCTTTGTAAATGAGTCTGTGATCAAGGAATACAGCGGTGATTTGGAACTCGAAAAGAGTCTATTCAATTCTGGGTTGCTTATTATTGAAAAAATCCCAGTAGTGCCCTTTGTTTGAGTTGTATCCATAGTCATGTGTCCGTTAAACAAAGAAATAATACTCTAGGGAATGACACGTTTCGCCCAAGCTAAAGAGGTGTATTCCAAATGAGACTGAGAATGACTTCTATTGAAAGCCCCTCCTTAAAACTACGTAAACTACTGCTATGTTGAATGCTAATGTAATAGCCGTGTTGTAGGCTCAATTTAAAGAAAAAGAAGACAAAAGCAGGAAAGTACTGATACAAGCACGTGAGAAAATACAACAGTTAACAGGTAACTATGCCATTGTATGCTGCTACATCCTTGCCGATTGTGTAACTTAAAGTAGATTACTTATGATTGTGAAAAGGAAGGTCGCGCTACAATACGAAATGGACGACGTCATTTGAATAAATCAGCATAAATCATTAATTGGTTAGCCAATCAAAAAACAAAATTGAAATTGATGCCAACCCTTGAACCATTTATAGCGCGCGAAATCATTGCATTACCTATCAAGAAGCTAAGACGCAGGGCGGCGCGGTCATGTACCAACTTGACATTATCCCCTGAGCAAGTCAAATACCTAAAAGATTCCTTATTCAATTGCTATGTTTACACGACGGCACACGAGCTAAAGGGTTCATTAAAGGTGTTTTTTAATGTTGTTTTCAGCACTAAAGGATCGTTTGGGGACAGAGAATGAAGAATTAAAGAAAGAAGTCAAGGCCGCCTCCGAAGCAAAGGACACCATGTCCCAGCGTAACAAAGAACTAGACGACAGATTAAACCTACTGCAGTCTCAATACGATAGCTGTGTTGCTAGACTCGAAAAGAAGGTCAATGACTTGAATACCAAACGAGAAAGCGAGGCTGAAGAAAGCAAGAAGAAGCTGGATGAGAAGAGATTGTAAGTACTGGATGCCAAATCATTCGATCTGGTTTAACTCCATGTAAAGGTTTAGGGTATTTTGAGCAGTGAAGAATGCAGCAGTGCAGTCGGCTATCACCTAAAGGGTCTCATGTTTTTCGGTTTTCCTCCATCCATTAGTAAAATCTAACACGATAAATCCCAATTCAATTAGCCGTGCCGTGACTTACTGGCGTTTCCAGACAAAAATCGCGACGTGCACTTTGCAATAGACTGCCGTCAATCAAATAAGTTTACGTCATTTACACGCGTTTGGGTCGGCCCGGATAGGCCCGGTGAGTGTGGCTCATAATACTTGTAAACAATCGACCGACGTTTTGGCGCCTTTTAAATCACACACGCGTGTAAATGGCGTCAACGTGTTTGATTGACGGCAGTCTTTTGCAAAGTGCACGTCGCGATTTTTCTCTGGGGTGGCCGCGTAGCAATGCAAAAGCCGGTAAATCAACCCAGAAATCGTACCAGGGTTCCATAAAAATAATTTCTATTAGATATATTTGATAATAACATTTACTGATATTAAAACATTAATTCATAGAGAAAACGAACAACAGTTCCAACAGATCCAACAGCTCCAGAAACAGATCCAGCAACAGATCCAACAACACCAACAAAAGCTTGCTTCTAAGGCAACAGCTGCTAATTCTTCTGGAAGAAGTCTTGGAGATTCTCCTGGACAGGACAACACACAAACGCTTGGTTAGGGACCAGTCATTATTTTAAGTCGGAGGGAGGGGGGGGGGGGGGTGGGGTGAAGGAGAAATTGGGGGGCCCGTTTACTAAAATTTGCTACTGAGTCGTCCTCCATTTTGATGCCTACCAACCTTAAGCAAAGAGAGTTTTTTCAACTTATCTTTACGAGTTTTGTTCTCCATGTTCTCCGAAATATTTTTTTAGGGTTCTCATTAAGGGTCGAAAATAGAATGCTCCGATTACTGACCAAATTTCTCAGGCTTAACTTACCATAATCTTCTCCTGTTATTTCAAAGCTTAATGAGAACCCTACCAGGACTTTGGCTAGTTCACGATCTTCTTCTATTATTTTAAAACCTGGAATAAACCATTATTTTTCTTCAGATTCTACATCTGGTATTCCATCTACTACTCCTGTATCAATCGTCCCACCCACAGCCACCATCAAACCTACCTCGGCACCTGCAGCAAACAAAACCTCATCAGCAAAGACCGCAAGTATACGTCCCATGCCAATCACTCAAGGTACCCCTACTCCTACTGCAACAGTCTTACCCACTGTCACCTCGACTGCTCAAGAAACACCCACCACAATGGCTGCAGTGGTACCTTCACGAAACCAGGTGACGTTGACTTCTACAGCATCAACGAGTGCAACTGTTCGACCCATCACTAGTGGGGCATCGACCAGTGTGGTGTCTACTGTCCCATCGCAGAGAGCTCCTGCTGAAGCGCAAGCTGGAAGGTGAGTGAAACGAAACAAATAAAGTACCTCTGCGCATGTTTGTAGTCTTAACGGTCATACGGTTTTCCACTTTATCTGAAGGATGACGCCCTCTGCAGATACATCTCAACCAACTGTGGCCGTCACGACAAGCAACAAGCGGCAGCGTGACGAAGAAGAGGATGTCGATAGGTAAGGCATGATGCTCAACACTAGAAGTCTATTCCAAGACATTACGAAACATGTTTGAGCTTCTTCCTCTAACGTAGATATTGATGGCTTTTACAGCCGCCATGTTGGATGAATTGAACAAAAGATTTGTCATTAGTCTCTTTTGCTATATCATCCAACATGGCTGCCATGTCTTTTGTTATTTCTTTCTCTTGGGAATGCTAGAAAACCGGCATCAAATATCGACATTACATAGACTAGCATTGCAGTACGTTTGTCACTGTGCTCCGCACAGGATGACCTGTGCTTACCATTATTTCCTAGTAGCGCATTAGTTAGAGTCGGGTCGACTAGAGTTTCGAAGGTCGTGGGTTCAAATCCCATCTGGAGCTGGGATTTTTAGTTCTGAGCTCTTGTTTAATATTCTTGGGACTGCAACCACGTGACCAAAAAATCGCTTGAGATATTAATAGCAATAACAAGAGAAGCTTAATAAGGAATGCTTTGTATTGTCAACCAAGATAGCCACTATGACGTAACGTACACCTTAAGAATAACTGTCATGATTAGTTTTATTTTATGTTGGAGCTTTGTTGGTTCGTCCTTGAAATATTAAGCACCATTTGCATGAAATGTTTTACTGCATTGTGCAAATATCATGTGACTGTGGCACACGTCATTGTCATACGCAGGGTTGGTGCTACTCCTTAAACTCCTTGAAAACTCCTTGAATTTAATTCACGTTTTCAAGGGCACTTGAAAAGCTCTTGAATTTTACGATTTTAGCAAAACTCCTTGAAAACTCCTTGGATTTTTGCTTTGATCATTACTTGCATGGTTCTGAAATAGATCTAGTCAGAAAGATTGAAAATCTGAATGTCAGCCATGTGCAACCACTGTGTAAAACCTCTTGGCATATTCAGTAGCTGAACATACTCCTTGAAAATTCATTTTTGGGTCCTTGTATACTCCTTGAACAGTCCTTGAATTTTAAGTCGTTACCTCAGCACGAACTCTGCATGCGCATGACAAGTCTTCAGTCATAGCTCCCAGTTAGCGTGTCCGCACTGTACCTAATCGTTCATACAATGAAAAGTCCTTCTTAAAATTACTTTTTTAGGCAAAGCCAAGCACAATCGTCAGAACCTGTGGAAAAGAGAGTAAGAACTACAGAAGCTGAGGTGAGAAGAACTATTACATTTAGTTATGAACATATCCACATGAAATATGCGCGTTATAAATGTATTTATTATTATTATATATTTATTATTATGCATTTGTTTAAAAAAAAGGAATTTGTACATATTTATATTATAACATCACTGAAGTCGTGAGATTAGCATCTTCATAAAAAAAAATTGCTCGTGCGCTAACAATAGACATCAGCTTGGGCTTAATCTTACTCCATTTCAGACCACGTGTCATTCCCTAGAGTATTATTTCTTTTTTAAGGGTTGCGCTCGGTTGCACATGAGAAGACACATGAATATATAGATACAATTCAAACAAAGAAATTTTATTCTCTAGAGAATGACACGTGGTCTGAAATGGGAAAACATTTCGCCCAAATCGAGGAGGATTATTACTTAAAGACGCTAGTTTTAGGTAGTTAGCCGTGCCTTGACTTGTATCAGTCCGAAGTTTGCTCCAGGGTTCGATAAAGTTAAGGGAAATTAATTATCGGCCTTTACTTTACTGACAATAGGCTGTGGAGGGAACCATAGACGAGCTCGCCGCGAATGAAGGAGATCAAGAAGAAGAAGGATGGGAAGTTCCTGAAATGGAATCTGGTCGAGAAACCCCTGAAGTAGTGCTGATAGAAAGCGGTGATGACGAAGATGAAGAGGAAGACGAAGAGGGAATGGAAGAAGAAGAGGAGGACGAGGAAGACATGGAAGAAGATGAAGAAGATGAAGGAGAAGACGAGGAGATTGAGGAAGAAAGCGCTGCTGCTGCTGATATAGATGTGGTAGAGGTCATTGATGATGATGATGAAGAAGAAGAAGAACGAGGGGAAGAGAAAGTATCTGAAGAACAGGATGAAGAAGAAGATATTGGAGAAGGTAATACTACTTTGACCTTTTTTTCTTTTTCTTTTTCTTTTTCTTTTTCTTTTTCTTTTTCTTTTTCTTTTTCTTTTTCTTTTTCTTTTTCTTTT